TAAGAACTGAAAAATGGCATGCTGAAATACCAAAATAATGTATTTACTCATTACCAACCCTAGACTTTGCTTTTATACTGTCCACAATCTGATTTAAATTGGTGCCAGTTTTCATGATTATGAATATTTCATAATATCTACCCCTCTATAGCCCACCTTTAGTGATTATATAGTAATTAATTAAAGAAATGAAAAAAGTACTTTGTATCCTGACTGATAATGAATGAAATATGGTGATCAAAAGGTTTTTATTGATATGAAACTTTGGAGGGTTTATTGATCCTATCAGTTCAAGAACCACAGCAGATTCTAGGTGACTTTTTAAATGTCATGAATATACAGTGGTGTATAGGTGTGCAGGATCCTTTCCTCTATGACCATAGAGGGTAATCCTTGAAGCAGCACAATTTACTCCATTATTTGCATCTATTTTTGCGCTATTTGCATTCAATGCAATAAATACCGATGCCCATATCAAGTCAGGGAGATGCAATAATGTGACACTAGTTAATCATCACATTTTTCAAAGCTGCAAAGATGGAAAAAAAATAGTCCTTTTGATTGGAAAAAAAAGCAAAGTGGTCGTCCACAATTTCAAGAGCATTATTTGACTGTAATACGGAGGAGTCACACTGGAATTACGTTCCTGAATACATAAGCAATGTAGATGTTGTTAAAGCACCACAGAAATATAACAAGGTAGAATGACTCATCCTTTTATTTGATTGATTCAAAGATAAATAGAATTGACTGAGAGTATCACTCTGTAAAATGCCAGATGCAAATATGTGCTTCTCTAGTTTGTTATATACTGCCAGAATAAAAATGTAACCCTTGTACCTTTGCTGTGGTTACATCCTGTTTTCTGTGGATAAAAAAAAAAGCATATTTGTTTGCTGGTTGTACACTCATCCATCATCTTCTCCCACTCTCATTTAAAAGCAGAGATCCTCACTGCATCTCCCTTTCATTGCACAGTTTAAATGTGCTGAAATTTTCTTGCAATCAGCTTTGCACCGTCTACATGAATATAGAAGAAATGGGTGGTTTCTTTCTAAAATGAATGCACGATAATCAAAACATTTGTCGAATGTTAAACATGGAAGTTGGTAATCCAACGCTTAGTTGTACATAACATCTTGGAGTCTTTGCAGGATGCAAACACTTCACTTCACTGTTGAGACGTACAAATAAATCTTGCACATTTGGTTTATTCTGAAATGAAACCCGTTTTCTGACGATGCTAAAAGATTTCAGTAAATAAAAAAATAAAAAAAATAAAAGTGGGTTAAAAACAGACTTTAAAGTTTATAATTACTTGTTCAGAAGATGCAGAAATTGTAATTATTCCAAAGAATTAACCGATTCATTGTTAGCCAAGTCCATTAGGTTTTACTCGATAATAAAATAACGACTTCAGGATGATTAAGAGTGGCTGCATGTTCTGAGAGCTTAAAGCACCCTGCTAAGGTTAGCGGAAGGTCGACTTGGTAGATAATGTGAAACTCCCTCCAACATACTGATCAACTTCTCTAATACTCTTTCACTCCAGGTCCAAATTGCATTTAGACTGTTTGTAATTAACTTGCAGATAGAGGCCATTGCAGCATCTGTCACCTGCTTTTCCTGCGTTTTAATGCTGCTGTTTGCTTCACCGTATGATGCTACGGTTTATCACCACACTAGATATACACGATATGTGGTTATCAGTCTGCTTAGTGGCGCCACAAGCAGAAACAGCTCCTGTTTGCTTTTTATGCCAGTCCTCTTGATAAATAACGTTACAGCGATGAATCAGATGGGGGATGTTTTGGGTGGCTCGTCGAAAGATTTAGAATTCCCACTATACTTTTCTCCAGTTTCAGTGAGATTGGAAGCAGCATAATTAAATTTAAAGGTAACAAGCTTATCAAGCCTTTAATAGAACAAAAAGCCCACCTTGTTTCCAAATGCAATCACCATTAGTGGTCAGAAATAGTCAAATAAACCAGGGTTTGCCATTAAGCTGCAGCTATAATAAGGCAGAGGTAAAAGCTGACACTTTCACTATGCTGCGGCTATTTGCTGACGGATCTGGCACAGCTGCGGCTTAAAGGTATAATCCACCCTTTTGTTAAAACCCATCCAGGCAGGTTTATTATATTTAATACCATAAACAAGTTTCTCCATATTTTAGACCAATTCCAATAATTTGATTAACATTACCAGATTATGTGACGCGAATGCCTTAAATAAAAGTTATGGTTTGATTTATTTTACTCTAAAATTGGAAGTTTGGACTAAATAATAACAATTACATTTTTCTTTAGCAGTAATTTACACAATATGGATCCCATAAAATTAGAAGCACACACACCAATGTACAATTTTATCTGCAAGACTTATTCTTTAGTTTTTGAATGCATAAAATTTACATAAATACCTTTTTTTTTTTTTAAATGCATTGATAATTGTGGTTACTGAGTAAAACTAGGCAATATCTTTGACTATCCAAAAAACAAAAATTGCACCAAAGGAAAACATATTCTGCAGATTAAAAGCTGCAAGTAGAACAATATCCAGCTGAAAACAGTAATCAAGCAGCAGAAAGAAAGTTTGGAGAAAGCCGAGTTGTCAAAAAGTGAAACCGAGGATGAAGATTTCATTGGATTTAGTAATTTGGAGTGACACGGATGATTTGATAAACTTGTTATGTTATTTATGATATAGTTATCTGAAGAAGTCTTAATATGTTATGTTAAAATACCAGGCACGTTCTAAATTCGTTGTTTATGTGTCATGTAACGTACAATTATTCAGCCTGCTGTTGCCTCTATTCTAGTTTTATTTAAAATTGCCTTTCAAGATGACACGTCTGATCCTAGAGTTGGATTTTATCAAATAAATTTCCACAGAAAATACTTATACTTATACTCCAGTGCGACTTATATATGTGTTTTCCTTCTATACTATGCATTTTATTGTTGGTGCAACTGAACGACTTACAATGCAGAAAATACAGTAAGAGGAATTGTAAACTTATTAATCACTGAATTTGAAAACTTATTTTCAAATTCTTTACCTAAATAAAGTTTAAAAAAAATCTAAATTTACTGTATATATCTGATTATAACATTTTTTTTTTAAATTAAACATTTAAAAAGGAATTTTTTGTTTCACATTTCTTGTTCAGCTTGCATTTTCAAATCATTTTGTAGTCACATTTTTTATTGTAGCTTCTCTATTTAGCATTTCCCTGACCTTCCCAGTCCCTTCAGCTCACTTGGATCATAACAGAGCAGCTATTGTAGAGGGCACCTTCCATGTCCAAAATTTGTTCTGTCATTCTTTCAAACGGTTACCATGCTTCATGCTGGTTGTAAACTATTTGGTGATTGGAGAAGAGAAAAATCATAGATAAAGCTTGCATATGGAGAACAAAGCAGCAAGAAAAATAGATCACTGTAATACCTTTGGCTAAATAGCTCCAGAGTGCAGATATTGATGATGCAGAGCCCTTACAGAGACTGCTTCAGATAAAGCAAAACTTTGAAGCATCCATCAGGCACTCAGACGACGGGTTTCTCTCAAAATTTGATGATGTGCGACTATTACTTTTCCAAATCCGTGATTTCTACTCTCTTTGGGTTTAAAAGGTGAGCAGGTGGAGCAGCAAATCTGTACCTTCTATGTTAGCCATCATGTTGTGATTCAGGTATGGCTGTCTGACCAATGAGAGCGCTGGTTACATCCAAAGAGCAACAGTGATTGGTTTAAATTGGTTTCAGTGTTCTAAGGGACCAGAAGGGCCACACAAGTTTCCTCTCAGAGGAAAACTGCAAAGAAAATCCAAAGGAAGATGGTAAACAGGATTTTAAAACGAAAGGTGAAAAAAGAATGATTTTTTTTAATTGTTTGATTTAGAAAGGTATTTATAAATTATGGTCTTTAATTTAGAGATTTGAAAATAGCTTTTCAAATTACAGTATTTGATAATGGATTATTGAATCAATAATTCAATTTAAAATATGCACTTAAGGGGCTGCACGGTCGTGCAGTGGGTAGGGTAGTTGCCTTACAGCGAGAAGGTTCAATTCCTGGTCTTTCTGCATGGAGTTTGCCTGGTCTCCCCTTGTGGGTTCTCTCCAGCTTCCTCACACAGTCCAAAAATCATGACTGTTAGGTTAAATGGCCTCTCTAAATCCTCCTTAGGTGTGAGTGTGTGTGTGTGAATGGTTGATTGTCCTGTTTGTCTCTGTGTTGCTCTGCAACAGATTGGCAACCTGTACCCCTCCTCTTGCCCATAGACTGCCGGAGATAGGCACCGGCTCCACTACAACCCTCACAAGGTTTTAGCGGGAGAAAATGGATCAATGCAGTTATGTGAAATTAAAAAACTGTTTTCAAAATGATTTTTAATTGTATGATTTAGTGTCTCTCCTAGTTCTTCATCCCCAAAATGCTGCCACACTTTTCTTATCTTGCCCTGTATGTTTTTGTCTAAAAATCCCTAATTTTTGTGTGTAATGTTTATCAGTACTGATTGAGACGCTACAAAGTATAGATTGATAGTTATTACTAAAAAATATGAGTTGTAAATTAAATTATACCACAGAATTATTGGATATTAAATAAACTATGCAACATCAGAATGGTAAAAAGATGAAGGGCTATTAGTAACATAAAGTCCTATATATTTGTGAACACAGGGGAGATACTTAAAGATGTGACAAGAAATATCATTTAAGCTCAGATCTACATTTCACAAAAATACAGGTCAGTGTAATCTCTGAATTGATTTTTAAAGGAGAAATGAATATTTCCTTTTAATAAAAACACCAATTTGTAGATAACAGAGTTTATTTTTTTCAAACACTATCTTTAAAGAAATGTTTTTGCTTTGAGTTTGAGCAAAAATCCTCCCAACAATCAATAGAAAAGAGGTGTGAAAACATTTCATAAGGAGGTGTTGCATGAGAAAGGTCACACACACAAAACAGCCCACAGCTGTTCTGACTCACCTCTCTGATTGCTGTGCAGAACTCGCTCTGCAGAACCTTTTTCAGAGACTGCAGCTTATGTCCAGGAACGTCCCCTGATTCCTGCAGCTTCTCCAGCAGCTCAATAGCTCGGGCAACATCTGGCAAGAGGAGGAACACAGAATTGGTGCACGTGTGAGAGAGGGAGAGCAAAAAAGAATCAGCTAGTCAATTACATTAACGGCAGAGAAAAATGACAAAGGCGCCGGAGCAAATCAATGGATGCCATAATGGAAATAGACTCAGTCAAGGCCAGCGACTGCGAGGATGATAGAGTAGAAATGAAATTTGTGAATCGTTTGCATCGATTGGGCATTAAAGAATAGATAGAGCAAAAAAAAAAAAAAGTAAAAGTAAAACCTTCCTAAAAATGTTGAAGCTACTATATATGTGTTATTTGTCTACTGAAGTTTAAGCCTCATATTCTGTTTTATTTTTGAAAAAAAAAAAAATTGAATTGTAAAATATAACAAGATAAAGATCTTTATCTGGAAATTGGCACCAAGTGACCCTAAACATGTAACCTCAGTCTACAACACAAAACACTGAACTATGAGGTTAAAAACTCTCAAATACCCTTTTCTATTATTGCGTAATCCACCAATCAACAAAAAAGGGGAAAAGGGCAAAAAAATTAATTAAAAAAAATTCCCCCCAAACCTTAACAAATTTTAGACCAATAAAGATATCCACATGCTAAAGTCTACAGTCATTTTAAAGTTTCTATGCTGTTAAAATGATTCTGTTACCTTATAACTTCAGTTTGAACACAGCTCTAACTGATTACTGTGAATAAGAACAAACTAAATCATGGGAATTTGATATTGTAAATATCTTCAGGATTAGCATCCAAGGTCAATGCGTATAAAGTTTCCAGTTTTAGCTGTTGTACTACTCTAAAAAATAAAATGCTGTACCAGAAATTCAGTTTTGCTCATGATTAATGTCGATCATCTCCTGCAGTTTGTAAAAGTGAATGGACCCAAACGATGAACTCATCATGTGAAATACTGCAATGACTGAGTTTTGCATTTAAATTCTTGTCTGTTTTTTTTGTCTACACCTCAAAAAGAAAGGACCATTGTCTTGCTACTGAAAGGTGCTATATGCTCTACATAAACTTCTCCTTGCCTTGATGCATCATCCCCGTCATAGCAATATTTTAAAATGATTTAGCAATCTTATATTTGCCTCATATCATGCAGCTCAACCTAAAAGTTTTGCTTAAAATAGCTAATCTGCGTTTTTACTTGACATGACATTAGAACGCTGCAAAAAAATTAAAGGCAAGTATCTTGTTCTTAAAATCCATGCATTTTTCTCTTAAATTAAGCGGATAACTGAAGCACTTTTACAATGCATTTACAATAAAAACAATCATATTGTTCTAATATCTAATGATCTTATTTTATGGGTAAAAATACTCTTTGCATTGGCAGATCATCTTATTTTCCTACTCAAATTAAGAGTAAATACACTTATTTAAAGAAATTCTTCATTTATTTTAAGATGGTACTTGCAGCTTGGAAAACCAGTGGGACATGTTAATGAGCGGAGGGACCAGCTCATCCAGATTTAGTAATGCTTTTATTTAAATATGTGAGGGTTTTAAGGAATATGTTTAAAAAAACGAGTCTTTTTCACTAATTCAATGCAACAGCAATCCATGTAAGAACTATACATATAAGCTGTACATTTAGCTTTAACTAACTTTTAAATATACCTGATTTCTATTTGATTTTGAGCTACAGTTGGTGAAGGATACTCCAGCTTTCAAGTCTGAAATCCTACTTCAAATGGTCCTAAAATGCATTAAAAATTAGCTTTGCTTATAACTTGGATATTATTGGCACCAACATCTTATCTATAAAAAAAAACGAAATTGTGATATTACTAATAAATATTGTAATGATGGTAATGGTTGCAATGAATTCTTGTCATTACTAATTTTTTTGTTTATATCATTAGAGCCTCCATACCTCTTTCTGTGACTTTTTGATTGGGGGGGCTTATTTACCTACTCAAATTAAGGGTAAATGCACTTATTTCAAGAAATTATTTACTTATTCACAGATTTCTACAACAATCTTGAGCACCAAGTTTAGTCCCTGCTCATGGGTACAAATAGTACTGATATCCATAGCATTAATCCTACGCACAGATTAAGCTGTTATGATTACTGCCCTCTAATGTTTTTCATAGCTCTAATAAAAGCACAACTAAAAGAGATTTGCGGACCAAAGATTGAACTTAAACCACAGTTTGAAAAGAACAGAGATCCATTTAATCCCCAATAGTTTGTACTCCTACCAGATTAAGACTCATTTTTGAATAGGAATGAACAATAATTCAATGTCATATATATGACAATTATATATATCGCAATATAATTTTATTCAGTAACGGTGATATGACATTTCTGGTATTTTAATGTACAAAGCAAAGTGCTTTACATGATTAAAATACAGAAAGATAAAACAGAATCAAAGCAAGTAGGATAAAATAAAAACATAACTAAAATAAAATAAAAAAAATGAAAAAATAAAAAATGCAGAAACAAAAAAGTTGGACTAAAGAAAATATGTTTTAGTTGAACTGTTTAACTAGAACAGTCAAAGGCAATCCTAAACAAATGTGTTTTTAGTCTTGATTTAAAGGAATCCAGGCTTTCCGCACTTTTACAGTTTTCTGGAAGTTTGTTCTAGATAAGTGGAGCATAGGAACTAAATGCTTCTTCTCCATGTTTAGTTCTGGTTCTAGGTATGCAGAGCAGGTTGGAGCCAGAAGACCTGAGTGGTCTGGAGGGTTGATACACTGATAGCAAGTCTGTGATGCATTTAGGTGCTAAGCCATTCAGAGAGTTATAGACTAACAGAAGTCTATTCTCTGAGATACAGGGAGCCAGTGGAAGGACTTTAGAACTGGGGTGATGTGCTCTACTCTCTTAGTCTTAGTGAGGACACGGGCAGCAGTGTTCTGGATCAGCTGCAGCTTTCTGATCCACTTTTTAGGCAGACCTGTGAAAACACTGTTGCAGTAATCAATTCGACTAAAAATAAATGCATGGATCAGTTTTTCCAGATCATGCTGAGACATTAGTCCTTTAATCCTGGAAATGTTCTTCAGGTGATAGAAAGCCGACCTTGTAATTGTCTTGCAATTGTTCCTGACAATGATTCTGTTTTTCATATATTCTATGTGTGCTTTTTTGTTGTTTTTTTAGCATAAAGTTTTATCTTCATAATTATATACAGTTATCTGTTGTGGGTATTTTTGACAGTCATTTTAAGCTTTTCTGTATTTCTGTTTATGGTGTGATGACTGTAATGAAGAAGTGTGTCATGATATAAAAATAGTTTCCGATAGAACAGACACATGCCTCTCCAAAAATAAGAATACAATAACAATTTTTTAAAACTCTATTTTTATTTATATTCTATTTCCAGAATATGCATGTCAAAAAAGATATACCCTTCTAAATAATGAATGGGAGGAAATGTTTATTAGCATTCAGTCTAGAGGTATAAGCGTACAGTATATGTATGTGGTTATCAGGCAGACTTCAATCAACATTGTGTTAAATTTCTCAAACTTGTCAATTACCTTTACATCTTGCAAAGCACACACATGACAGGGTAAAATATTTTGAATAAAAATGTTTTCACTGTATTTTGAGGTGTTTATGTTTATAATATTTATGATTATTTTAAGAAAATACATCAATACATTCTATATACCAATCTCAGGATGTGCGGCATCATTTATGACCCTTTGTAACTGCCTATTTTCAACTGTCTCTTACAACAGCTAGTTTAAATTCCTGGGAAAGATTCGTTGATGATTTCTTTTCTGAATCACAGAAAATGGAGGGAAATTTTAACAATACATGAAGTTATATTCCTCCTGTAATGGATTCTCATAGTGTTCCCAGTCAATGCTGCTTGAAGTCCAAAACTGTGCAGACGGCTTTAGATATTTTTGCTGCAGAAAACCTCAAAAAATTCAGTTTATCTTTGAAGGACTTCAGTTTTTCTGCTAGATGTATTCCAAGGAAAAACTGCTCACAGCAAGGTCCGTGGATCAGAAGGTAACAGAAAAACTGCCGTTGTTCAGAGCTGTGTGCAGAATGAACAGCAAACTGCAGGGAGCAGAATTGTCAAAGACACCTGTAACTATGAGAAAATAAAAAGATAACTCTGTGGCTATCCAGCCTTGACTAAACTTGTATCGTCTGGATTTAGAAGCATTATAAGAATTAAAATATTAGTACTTTTAATCAAGGTAAAAGGGTCACATTTTAACCATTTTTTGCTCCAAAACTCATGTTCTCAAAGGCTCTTAATGAGCTGGCATACTTCCAAGCACCGAGGGTAAAGCTGTCTGGTAGGGTACTGAGCCTTTCTGTCTCATTAAATAAAGGTGAAAGGCCAACAGGGATTTATTTTTCTGTCTGCTTCTTTTTGCTCATTAACGCACACTTTTAATAATCAGCATCAAGACCCTCCACCAACTCAGAGGAAGAGAGCCTCAGAGTCGGATATTGCGAACATGTTTTCACTGCAGCTTTCATCCAGCTGATCATAAGCGACAGCTGCATACTTCTGGATGTAAGCCCTCCGAGTTAAAATAGGGTGATCTAAAATTTCAAGAGCTTTGCATCATCAGAGAAAGCTGTACTTTTAAGGAGAAAGAGAGACACGTCTGTCCTCTATATCCACAGCAATCTTGGTGATTTATTTAAAAACTAAACTTTTCAAATATCTTTATTTAAAGGTTCTTAAATCCAACGTATGCATGAATAACCACACTAAAATCCACACTAAAATATGCACAGCATAACAGATGTTTGCATGCACTACTATTTTTCTGTGTGATTTTTTTTTTTAAGATTTATTTGAAAACATTGTCATAGGAGGGGCTTGCTTCAAAAAATTAAAATTACAGTATGTGGATTTGTTTCTCATCCATACACTAAAACTGTAAATGAGGGTAAACGTATATCTCTATAATATTTGGGCTTTGGATTTTAGAAGCCATCAAATATCAAATGTTTTTGCATTTTTCGGACTGAGTATCTAGGACTGACTAAGCAGAGGTGTCA